AAAGAAGTGTTAAAAAATATTTTAATGTATCCTTATCTGAAAACATCCTACCTAGCTGCCGATGCTTTTCTTTGTTTTGTTTTGTTTTGTTATGTTTCTAAAGCACATGAAAATTATTTGGTGAGTGAAATGACCTGCTTCAGGGTCTCTCAGGTTAGGCCAGGTGGTGAGTTTTAAGCACATTAATAAATTGTGCTTGCAATAAAAGTGAAATTAAGGATATCAAACTATGTTTTCCAGGGAATAAGTTAACCATGCAGGTATGATTTGTAAAAATGTATAACTCTCAGATTTGTGTGTCGTACTTTCATTGATTCTGAAATAGAAAAGAAACCACCTATAAGAGGGGGAGTGGAAAAAAATTCAGGCACATCAAGGAAAAGCCTCTTTTCAGGACATGGGTTTGAGACAATGCTGAGTTGTCTCATAGGAGACAAATATTGTTTCGTTTTTTTTCCGAGTCTCCCTTTCACGAGCTACAAAATTGCATAATAATATATGCAATTCACAGGATTGGTCTGAAAATAAGATGTCATGATAAATCAACTTCATATGCTGATCATAAAGCAGTACTAATCAATACTGAACTATGAAAATCTACATCAATGCGTTGAAATACAAAATTTCCTCATTGACATGCATATATAAAACCATTTAATTAACTTGCTATACAATTATTTATAGACAGATTTCTGCCAAGGAAATAAATATACTATTGCCAGAAATAAAATTTCATTGGCATAAATACATTAAAATGGAAAACTTAACATAGTAAATTATAATTAATGTACTTTTTGATTGGTACTTAATAGCAAAATATTTTTCCTCTGTGCTATACCAAAATAAAATAAGAATCTTTCAGAGGCAGAAAATAATCATAATATATTTGTTATTTACAAGAAATTCATGTGAAATTGGCACCAGAAACAAACACAGTGAAGATTTTATATTTATTACTAGAGGCCTGATGCATGAAATCGTGCAAGAGTAGGCCTTTGCAGCCCTGGCTTCACGGGGAAGGTTGTCCAAATTGTCATTCCGCTGTTAGGCTATTCAGTCGATTTGCATATTACATATTATTATAGATTAGGCTTCCTGGTGGTCTAACATGTAGGGTGTATCAATATAGTCAACATTTATTCAATCACCTGATATTGATGGTAAAACACTGCAACTACACTCTGGCATTCGCCCAGCATTGATTAAAATGAATGACCTACAGAACCATCTTCAGCTTGCACAAGTTAGTACAATTAGATGAAAACTGACCCAAAGGCTATGCTTGGGGTTTCAGAGAAATCATTTCCCCAGATAAGGAAGAATTTCATATTTTTGCTTTTCAAAAGGATGTTTTAATTTTGAAGTAATGCATTTTCTTTACTTCAAAACAGTGAGGTAAAGAACATGCACACATCTTCATTAATAATGATCATAAGAGCAATATGTATGGCTACGTTTTACTTAACACTCCCTATGTGGCAGCCTTTGTGGTAAGGGCTTGGATGCATGAAAACATAACCATTGTAGGAAGAATTTTTAAGCTTTTGAAATCTGTCCTAAATATCAGATAATAGCATAGCTAGTATATAAGTTGTGTTCTGTTTCCTTGTTATAGGACACCAGGCTGAGGCCAGGGTCAGTCCTGGTAAGTCTGGGGGATCTTATATTTGGAGAAAAGAATATGGATCTTGAAGAAGGGAAGTAGATGGACATTGTAACACTGACTCTGTGTCTAGATATTTAATGTTTATCAATTACATTTAACTTCTGCTTTTCAAAAACTGTTTTAGAGTTAATACAATATATGCTTTCATAAGCTTTCCCTCATTTTCTAACAATTGAGCAAGATTAGTAGACAATCCTTGTAAAATAGTAACCCGAGTTCTTCCAAATCTATAATGTATGTAAATATCTCATCTATAAGCCCTTTTTAGTATAAAAATCTGTATCAAACAGAACTTATGAGGACATTAATAAATTAACAGACATGAGACTAAGACCACATATGAAAGACAGTTTTAAAAACAAATGAACTCTCTACAGCTGAAACGAAAACTAAGTGAGCCTGATACCACCGTATGCTACAGAGCCCACAAATTAAATATTCCTCAAATAAAGAATTAGAAAAAAATACATAGTTCCAAAATGTCAAGACATTTTTACATTTGAAAATAGTTATGAGTGCATGTTATTTTACATTTTTACATTTGAAAATAGTTATGAGTGCATGTTACATTTGAAAATAGTTATGAGTGCACTCTATCCCCTCTCACACAGGTAAGATTAATCTTAAAATAAAAGTACTTAAAACTCTTTTCTAGTCAATACCTTTATTGCATTTCGATATGCATTTTAATTTCAGTTCAACATGGATTCTGAACATCAGCATTCAATGAGGATATATCAGTGCTCATTAACATGCTGGCATCCAATTGATACAGAAGACCTAGCTTTAAAATCTAATCCCATTTACTGACAATCTCCATTGGCCCTTACATCAATAACTAATATCAAATAATTAGGGGCATGGAGCACAAAATTCGTGCATGGGCAGGGGAGGTTTCCTCAGCCCAGCCTGCACCCTCTCCAACTGGGGACCTCTTGGGAAATGTCTGACCGCTGGTTTAGGCCTGATCACATCCCTCTTGCATTCTGGGACTGCTGGTCTAACTGCTCACCTGCCTGCCTGCCTGATCACCCTTAACTGCCTCTTCCTGCCTGCCTGATTGCCCCTTACTGTCCTGCCTGCTGGCTTGATCTTGCTCCAACTGCCCTCCCCTGGCAGCCTGGTTGCCCCCAACTGCTCTCCCCTGCTGGCCTAATCACCCTAACTGCCTCTGCCTCAGCCCCCACCACCATGGCTTTGTCTGGAAGGAAGTTGGACATTTGGAGGATGGTCAGTCAACCCGGTCCAATTAGCATATTACCCTTTTAAGAGTATAGATAAATTATACAGGATAGGATTGCATAAGTGAGAAGGGGGAGCCTTTTTCAGCAGGAAGAGATGCTCTTGGCAGACAAAAACACATAATCCCTATATCTGGACTGATAGTCAGCCATGTGCACTATACTACCAAACCAGTCATGGAAAAATTGAACAGCTTTCTTACACTTTATACCAAAGAGCTGTTGCCCTTAAAATCACCCCTCAGCCCCCACCTTAGGTTCTGACTTCCCATTTCACCCGGATTAGGTTCTGATTGGTCGGTTTCTATGCCAGCATCAAAAGCTTCACCTCCTAGGCACCCATTGGTTCCTGGCACTTCACCCAGATTTGGTTCTGATTGATTGGTTTCTATGCCAGTCAGCCTCTTCGGGCCTACTATCTTTGGGCCTGATCAAAAGGCAGGGCTGATCAGCAGCCCCCAAGGAGTCCCGGAGAGAAACAGAGGTGCAGCTGCTGGCAAAGCCAGGAGAGAAAGAGAGAGGCAAGAACTGATCAACAGTTGCCACAGAGGCTGGGGATCAGACCTTGCCTCTCTCTCTCTCTCTCTGAGCTTGATCCACAGCCCCCTCTGCAGTCAGTGGTGGGTCGCTGCACCAGGACTGACTTCAAGTGCTAGGTCAAGCCTTGGTCGTTATGGATCCTGGCTTTATATATACATTTTTTTCCCACGTTAAACAAAAATTACATTATTAACAATACATTGTGTGATATTATTGTCTACTTTGATGAAAAAAAAAAGTAAGAATGCAAATGTGATATTTAAAAGAGATGTTTGGGCATAGGAAGTCAAGAGGCAGACTCCTAAAACAGTAAAATTACCACTATGATTCTAATTTGTATATAGCTGTAAGAATTAAATGTAGAAAAAATGTAATTTTATTTGAAAATGTGTAGGTTCCTTTGTAAAATGAACCCCATTGTTCATTGTTTTCTATTGGCATGGAATGTTAAACTTCGAACGATAGAATGAGCTACTTCTCAACTTCAAAACTGTCTCCTCTTTAATTATTCTTCTGACTAGTTGAGGTTGTGGAGTGAACATGTCTCTCCCATAGAAAGTTCATCTACTACAATAAGAACAATGTGTCACATTTCCTAGAATGAAAGGACACAGCAGTACAGGTATTCTGTAGAGCAAGAAATCAGTATTCTTGGAGGATAGCCCCAAAATATTGTAAATGCTAAACAGATGTTCAAGAAACAAAAGACATTGTGTGGACAAATTTGCGTTTTCATAGATCCTCACAGTCTTTTTCAACACTCATAGATTCATGCACTAACTTTGCAGGTGTTTCGACATAATGCTTGATAGAATAAAAAATGTCTTTCAACTATACTATGTTCAATAACAAAATAAAGAGTGCAGTAAAAAATATAATCTAATAACTAAGATAATTACATTTTTTAGTGGCTCTTAATAAATAGCTAACAATTTCTTCCACTATAACAGCATGGTAGAATAAGGAACTATGATTTATGTTATGCATTGCTTTTTATTCTTTCTTTGTGTTTTCTCCATTATGTTATTATTTTCACCACTGTTTCAGGCATAGGGAGTGTATTCTGCACTGTTCACTTAATCCTCATCAAGTGAATTTTCTGAATAGAAGGGCTGGCCACTGAGACTTGATTCAAAGTAACATTTCTCATATTATCAGATATTCCTCAGCAATGGTTGAGGAAGGTAATTTCCACACCATAGGTGGGTATTACGCAGGTGCTTGCATTGCCAAGGTTTGCTCTCAGTACTTTCACCTGTGTCTGGGGGCGATTTGGAGATGAATATAAGCAAACTGAGCAAAATTACCGTACAAGAAAAGATTATGGTGACAAAATAATACTGAATAATGTAGAGAAAGACTCCCACTGCTCCTATAATAAATCAGTCAAATTATCACAGAACCAAGGCTGCAATTTACCAAATTCACTGAAACACTTCGAATAGTGTGATTATATCACGTACCAAATAATTAGAACTTTCAATATTGTATGTATATTATATGTTTTTTGCAAGATGTTGCCACTAGCCAGAGCGGCCTGCTATCAGTCTTACCTGCACATTTGGTTCTGGTGATCAGTGGAGGTCCAGGGAGCCCAGTCCCACCTTCCCCAGGTCTGGTAAGTAGAACACGGATCTCATATTCGGTGTCTGGATCCAAATGCCACAACTTATAGGTTGGAGCATTGACTGCATGGGTTTCGGTCCAGGAACCTGATGTCATCCTGTACTCCACTTCCTTCAGGATAATGGGGCCATCGCCAATGATGGAGTTGGCGTTTAACTGGATCAGCAAATAGGTAGGCCCAACACCAAGCAACTGGGGAGGAGCAATGGGTCTTGGCGGTTCTAGGAGAGATGAATGTGTAGTGTAATTAGTAAAAATCCAAAAGATTGTCATACATACAAATATACGAATGGCTCTCAAAGCCTAAAGGCTTAATAAATTATGTATTTATTCATAATAATGTAAATGTTTATAAATATACACATTTAAAAAAAAAAACACCTAGTGCATGAGTGGTCCTGCAACTGTAATTTTAAAGAGCAAATACTTTCACAAATGGGATATGACGCATAACAAAAAGTTTCCTCTTATTAAAATCATGCCTCTCCAGGCAATAAACTTATAAAAGGACAGTAAACAAGTGAAATAAAGAAAAAAATATTTAGAAATGGCCAGCTCTGATTGCTACTAACAGAGTGATCTTTGACCTTTTTGAGGTCCTAAGACCTTTTTGAGGTCCTATTATAAATCTTCAAATTAATGAATACTCCTCTCACTCATTATTTCATTCATGCAACATGGCTACATGGTCTGTGTTTTCTTGCTCTGGTTTCTACTTCAGATGAAATAAGGAGGAAGGCACAGCAAAGCAGAAATCAGAAGCTAGTCCACGTGCTGACTCACTTCCATATCCCCACTTTAGAGTGTAATGAATTAAAATTTATACTAAGGCAAAATCACAAATCATTACAGATCACTGGCCTTTGGGAGTAGCATGGATTAAGGCAATGCATCAAATATTATACTCAAATGTCAAAGGTACACCTCAATTTAATTTTGGATAGCTTAGATATTTTTCCTGAAACACCAGGAAACATTAGTTCAATGTCCGAACTTATAAAAAAGGTGAATGATGAATTAGAACACTTTTTTCTTATGTAACAACAATGTAGCTGAAATTTGATACTGGACTTTATGAGGGCCTTCACAAAGCTACCTCTGTCCATGCTATGTCATGAAGACATTCTAACTACTACTTTGTGATTAAGAACACTTCCAAAAGCCAAAAAGCTTTAAAGAAAAGAGTTCATCTAAATAAAGTTGCAACTGCCTTAAAATTGTGTTAAAGGTTTTCTGTTAAGCTTGAAAGCTAATCTAGAATACCTCTGGAACTATTTTGACTCAATATAAGACAAGCAGCTAAGGAGAAAAATTGGAAACATTTCTGAACAGATATTTCTCCAAAGAAGATGGGCATGACCAATAAGGACAAGAAAAGGTGCTCAACATCATTAGGCCCAAGGATGGGTAAAAGAAAAAAAGTCAGACAATAACAAGTGTTGGCGAGGACATGGAAGAGATGGGTGAGACTGAAATGGTGCAGTTGCTGTAGAAAGCAAACAGCTCCTTTAAGTGAAACCAAGGGTTATGTCATGTCGCACTGATTGCAATCTTCAGTGTCTCTCCAGGAAAAAAGGAGCATTGTTTCCACAATAACATCAATGAATACCTACAGTATTTTTTGCATTTAAACAAGGCACAATATTTAGAACTATTGGATTAAATAAAGGGTAGGGCATCCACACAATGGAACATGGCTCAGTCATAAAAACAAGAGAGATTCTGACACGACCTGCAAATCTTATAGAAAGTACATGGTGGCTGCCCTTGCTCAGAGCTGGGCAATGAGGGGCTGGAGAGTGACTGCCAATGTGTCCAAGGTTTCTTTTTAGAGTGATGAGCATGTTCTAAAATTGACTGTGGTGATGGCTGCCAACTCTAAAAATACTAGAAACCACAAAATATCTAAATATACTAGAAGTCATTGTAAATGGATGAATTTTGTGGTGTGAAATTTCTCTCAATAAAGCGGCTAAAAATAGTGTTAAAAAAGAAAAAGCAAATCATATAGGAGATAGTGAATGGAACTGTATAATATGATCTCCATAGGGGTAAATTGGAGAAGATACATATAGAGGAAAGTTAAGGACAGCTAGTGTCTTTCAAACTGGATTTTCTATTTTAATGAAAATGCACGTTTGGAATAAAATTCAATGCAAAAGAAAAAAGCCTATAAGCAGGTTTTACTTTCTGATACAGCTTGAGATGAAGTAAGCATGTTCAGTCATAGCCTTTAAACCTTACTTGTATAAAAATATAGTTTCCACCTTATGTACACCTGTTACAAACATTCTTAACATAAGGGATAAGACTGTATCTCTACACAGGCTAGTCTTTTTCAAGATTTTTCCTCCAAAATATATAAGTATTTATTTAGTAACTACTAACTGCTTGGATGTTTTTTCATATTGAGCATTCACATAATAAGGACAGGGAGACAGAGTAACAATAAATCAACAAATTCATTATTTTATTATTTTTTCAAGTTAATTATTAAAAATTAAGAGTTATGTAGAAAACAAACAGAAGCTGTCATAAAGGATAACAGATTAGAGGGAGGGAGTATTTAGTAACAGTAATTAAAAAAAATTCCAAAATCCATTGAAGAATATTGATTTATTTCCATAATTAATTATGACCTTTATGGCTATGCTTTCAAACTAGTTATTGATAGTATCATATGAATTTGTCCTTCACATTGATCATGCTTAAAGTGAAAACAAAACTTTTATCAAATAACATAGGTGCTATATAAACTGTGTTTAGAATTATTTTTCTTGAAAAAGTAGTTATTAATACCTGATTTATAAAATTTAATTATAAAATCTGTATATGATATTATTGTTTGAAAGTTTTTCAACAATATACACAAACTTGGCCTAGCCAGTGTGACTCAGTGGTTGAGTTTTGACCTATGAACCAGGAGTCATGGTTCAATTTCAGGTTAGGACACATGCCCAGGTTGAAGGCTTGATCCCCAGTGTGAGGTGTGCAGGAGGCAGCCGATCAAGATCAATGAGTCTCTCTCACCATTGATGTTTCTATCTCTGTCTCCCTCAACCTTTCTCTCTGAAATTAATTTTAAAAATATTCAAAATTGTGCAGAGGGTGAATGATTTCCAATTTCACAACTGACTTCATTTGAAAAGTTACAAAAGAAAAGGATTAAATAAAACAAAAAATGCTTCAAATTTTTATTTTTTTATCACCTAAAGTAGCATAGAGCTAGACATTTGATATAATGAACCAGTCTAGCATCATTCAATTTTTTAATATACAAAAGTTTTGGTAGACAGAAAGAAAAAGTTGACATATTTTCTAAAGTTTACACTAAATTTAAGCTGAATAGACATAAAAGGAAAAAAGCAAAGGTATTTTCAGACTATCTAAATGTTGTACATAGTGTAAGCAGTCTGCATTTTACAAGAAAACTGAGTTTCCTCATATGTGCAATGCTCATTTTCATTCCACGTTGCTCAGACACCAACTAACTTAAATAGGAAAAGATGCTAAATTCATAGCTTACTGGGGAGTTCTACCTCAGAGCAGCAATGCCTCACTCACATTACAGCCAAACAACATGAAGAGGTCTGGCGTTTAGCATGATGAAATGATTTGCCCCATTAATTATAAATAACAAAACTAGGGTCATCTATAACTTCGTGGGTATTCTGACCTGACCTAATGACTATATATTGAATGTTAAATCTCACCCATCAAATCTCTGCCCAGGTTCGTCATGGAAAATGAAAAACAAGAGACCAACAGAAGAGGGCAGGGAGAGGAGAAAGGGGGGAAAGCTACAACAAAACATTACAAAGAAGAGAAAAGTGAAAGAGTAATATTTCTTCTCGCACATCTATCTTTCAAAAAGAAGGACATGTAAAAGAACCCAAAGCTTAAAGTCAGAAGATCTAGTTTCAAAAAATGCATATACACATAGCTGGGTAAACCTGAACATGTTATTTAACTTCTTGGCATTATAATTTCTTCCTTGGTAAACTATGCATTGTTTTAAGAATTTTAAAAGGCTCCCTATTTCTAAATACATCAAGAAACCATATATTTAATGCAATTTGTTTTGTTTTTGCTTTTGCCAGAGTGCATAAATATTAAAACCAAAAGTTAATATCCAACACGAGGGGTTTTTTTGTGTCTGAAGAAATGAGTTTTACGTAATGAAGTTCCTGGTCTGAAGTAGGGCAACAATTCACTCTGATCAGTTTTACATCTCATTTGTTATGGCCAAGCCAACACAAGGGGCAGCCCCGTAATCACAGCAGTAACTTTGTATTTGGAAATATGGCAACATTCAGAAAGCCTTTGAAGTATATGCCTTGATTAACAGCATGATTATAAGAAGTGAAACCTAGCATTAATGAGATTAATATATCACTACATATTAAATTTTTTATGTTGAAGGTAAAAAGTAGCTTATATTAGCATATGTATTTTGGTTTGGGGCCCTTGAGAACAAGAAGGCTTATTTATAAAATATCTATTCATTTCAATAAATTATGCATGAATTTTAAACAGTTAGCAAATGAACATGTAATTGTTCTGCAGCAATATTAATATTCTTCATAACTAATATACTACCAAACCCAGAGGTGTGGTGCGAATAAATCCCAAATGTACACTAGGTATCAGATGAAGCATGCAGTACCTCAAATACAAGATAAACCATGCTGATGTTACTTATTAACTTCCAATTAATGACTTCTATTCATTATTCTAGAGCTAAATAGTATAAAATTGCAATTATACATTTAAATTAGTTATTTGTTTTTTATTTCACATGGTTTTAAAAAGTGTATTGAAGTCACAAATCATTATGAAAGTATAGTCTTATCCAATTATTACCATTACAAATACTATTTTACACATATGTGTCACATATCAAAATGCAGTTCATTATTAAAATGCAAAAAACAAACAATCAAACAAACAAAACAGAAGCCACAAAGCCAGAGAAAAGTCAGTTAACACAGTAAATCTCAAGGTCAATGACACTTCTACAATCATCTTACCAAATAAATAAACTAAATATCTCTCAATCTGATATCCTTCCAAAATGTTTCATCTTCTTGTCAAAGAGGATTTAACAAAAACTGTCTCCAGATTAACTCTCCTACTATAGAGCAGGGAATGATGTTGGATTTGTCTCTTGGGACTGCTTTAACATTTGCAAATCTGATTCCTTATAAATGACAGGAATTTA